GTGGCACAAAAGAGTATAAAATTTATTGTGAAAAATACAAGAAATTTAAAAAAATGGTAAAAAATTGTGAAAATTAGTAATTAAAAAATAATAGTAAGATGAAAAAGAAACGTTAAATGTTAAGAATACATTACAAACTAGACACAAATAGGTTGTTGTTAGGCAAGTGGAAACAAATTATGCGACCATATTTGAGCAGTTGGATACCCTTCTTCAGTCATTTACTTTTAGTTTTTATACATTAGAATGAAATCCTAATATTTTTAGATAGGTACCTTATTATCGAACTCTTACTAGAAGAAAAACCAAAATTAATAAAAATTAATTTTAACAGTTGAACTTAGGGGGATGGGTGGCTTAGTGGCAGAGTCTCTGCCTGCGGATCCAAGGGTCCCAGGTTCGAATCTCACTGTTGGCCGGGATTTTTTTATTTAATTTAGGTAATTATTTTAAATTAATTCTGACACCTTTGTAGGATTCCCCACTCGACCATTCACTGTTGGGTTCTAATTAACAGCGCTGATCCTAAAGTGGCGCTGGGAAACAGTTACAAAGCCTACACAGAACACGAGGCTAATGACCTTAGCAGTCAATGCCGATGGCATTAAATTAAAAAAAAAGCCTACACAGAACACGAGGCTAATAACCTTAGTAGTTGATGCCAATGACACAAAAATAAAAAAAAAACAGTTGGACTTAAAGTGGTGTCATTTTCACTAAATTAGACGGTGTCGCTACAATTCACCTCAGCCACTGACTGTAAACTGATATTGCATAAATAATTTTTGAGGCACTAAGTACGATTTAATCCGATAAATAGTTAGGTATGTCGGGAAAGGAACTGAGAAGCGATTACAGGATATTCCAATTATATAGGAAATAGGCAGGGATAACGAAAAAGGCCTAATCTATCTCAATAATGTGAATTTGCAGATATCCATTTTATCACAAGAACTCGGAAACTTAACACTGGTGAACGAATGAAGGATCTTAAAAATGTAATCTAGTATAAACAGAGGTTGGCGTCCTCCTACGTCACAAGGATGGCTCATCTGAATCTGAGAGAGCCGGAATGGAATTAGCCCAGTAAACCACAAATACAGGGTGGCCGCCGGTAAGGTATACTACTTTGTTTTGCCGCCATTTTGGTAAACATTAGTCTTGATAGTTCATATTTGGCAGTCGTGAAGTAGACTAGTGGCAAATTTATTATGGAAAAATATTCGATAAACCAACGTGTTTTAATCGTTAAAACATTTTTTTTAAATCAATCATCGATTACTGTGACGATGAGAAAGTTACGTGAAATTTTTGGGAGAAACAACGTGCCAACAAAACGCACTATTTATTGTGTAGTGAATGCTTTTGAAGAAAGAGGGTCTGTAGGTGATAGGCCCAAGCATGGACCACAACGTACTGCAAAATCGGCTGAAAACATTACTGCTGCTCAAGAAAGTGTTCAAAACAATCCATCAACCTCAATTCGGCGCCGTGCTCAGGAGCTTGGTCTTCAAAGAACAAGTTTGGCCACAATTTTGCACAAGGATTTGCATTTGTTTCCATATAAGATTCAGTTGACACAAGAGCTTCTTCCACAAGACCATTTACGCCGCCGTACATATGCCAATAGGATGTTACAGCTCGCCCATGACAACCAAGATTTTCATGAAAAAATCTTAATGAGTGACGAGGCACATTTTCATTTGAATGGATATGTGAATAAACAAAATAGTCGGTTCTGGACAATGGAAAACCCTCAAATTATTATTCATAATTGGACCTTACTTCTGTAAAAATGAAAACGGCGTAACGGTAACTGTGAATGGGGAGCGATATCGTGATATGATTGAAAACTTTTTAACGCCATAACTGCATGCTTTGGTATTGATTAACATGTGGTATCAACAAGACGGTGCCACATCGCATACAGCCAGGATTACAATGGAATTACTGCGAGACCTCTTTCCCCAACAAGTTATTTCAAGAAATGGTGATGTTGATTGGCCTCCACGGTCGCCTGATTTGACTGCTCCGGACTTCTTTTTGTGGGGATATCTGAAAAGCAAGGTCTATGCAAACAAACCAGATGCTTTTGAGCAACTCAAACAAAATATCCGTGATGAAATTAATGAAATACCGCGTGAAATGTGTGAGAATGTAATGAAAAATGTGCATAGAAGGGCTCGCATTTGTGAGGCTAACAGAGGCGGACATTTATCTGATATTGTATTCCATACATAATTGCCGACATTAAATAAAACAATATCAATATAAGATCCATTCTCTTTCATTTAATCAAAAATTTCAAAACAAAGTATACCTTCCCAGCGGACACCCTGTAGTTGGCATTCGCTCGGCCTGACACCGGCATGTACGGGAAGCCGAGTACCATATGACGTAATTTAGAAGTAGAAACCGCATATGGTCCCTATTTGGCTTTGCAGACATGGGAGGCATCCTTACGAGCCGAATGCGGTTAATATTTGGCTAGGCCGGGCATGGGAGGCATCCTTACGGGCCGAACTATATATAGATATATGAACGTGGCTACAATGTAATGGGCTGCCGACGTTCGGCTGGGCGGACAAGCCCTACCTATATGCCGAAGCTGCACCCGTATATCGGGCCGAGTACGGCATTCGTTAAGCCTCCTTCGGCCCAGTTACGGTTCCGATTAACTGTTTATTGGGAGAATGCGTTTGCGCCCAGGCACCAGACTGACGTCATTATGACATCTTATTTTCGTCATACAGGACGTCATTTATCCTCTAAAAACTAACGTGATAATGACGGTAAAATGACCTAAATATGTCACACCAATGACGTCATATTTAGACGTCCTTTTCACGTCTAAATATGACGTGTTTATGACGTTTCCTAGTAGTATTTATAACGTCATTATGACGTTTTTATAACGTTGTTTTAATGTGACCTTTGTCGTTATTTGAGACGTCACCATTACGTTAAATTTGATATCTTTACTCCTTTGTAACTTTTCTATAGGAACTGTGGGTTACTTAATAAAACAAAATTATAACATGAAATAATTTTAATTAAAAAGAAAAAACAGTTAAATACATTAATTTATATAAATTTATATAAATCCAAAACTGCTCCAAATGTGGCCAACTCGTTCGTTATTATTTTGGCTTTGGCACAATAATTATGAAGACTACAGGCACATTTAATTTCTAATGATTTTTCTATGAGTGCCGCCATTTTATACTATTTCACGGACCTAGGAACATTTTAGGAAATATCCTATGAATGTAAAAGATATAAAATCATTAAAGAATAAGGAAAATATAGATATAAAAATACCTTGTGCTGGGTTGATACTAATATAACTTTTTTCACGGACCTTCTCTTAACTTTTAACAACAATCCTAAATGCACACGGGCCACGATCCGCGATGCACACACCATTACACATGGCCGATGCAACAATCTGCGATACCGTTCTCGTGCTTGCTCGAACGGCTCGAACATACACGAGCCGTACTCCACAAACCGCTAACCACAGACAGCCGCAGTCATGTGTCACGTGGTTTCATACAATCTTTATGCATTTTAAGCGCCATATTTAAACGTTAATAGACCTATAAGAGTTTTAAAAAATAATTGTTTAGGCTATATCATTTTACGTAAATAAAATGTATTGAAATCACGTTTAATATAAACCTTAATTTAATAATGACAATAAATTTACGTCACGCTGACGTCGAATTTGTGACGTCAAAAAGACGTTAAAGAATGGACGTCATAATCACCTCGTTTTTTGGTAACATGACGTCGATGACCAAGAATTACCAAAAAATGTCGTCAAAATGTCGTCAGTCTGCTGCCTGGGCGCCGACAAAAGTCTGAATCTGATTGATCCCAAATCTACGAATTCAACTGTCGAAGCCATGTGCCTCATCGATACCGTAACTGGTAGAGGCGCGGACGGCTGTAGCCTGGAGGTTCCAGGCAGGGCCGCCGAGAGCCAGGTCGGGCCCCAGGACAAATTTCCAAATCGGGCCCCAGGACAATTTTCCAGATCGGGCCCCTTGAAAAAAATTATCCTCCTCTTTACTTAAATTTCTCTAAAAAAAAGGTCTTCAAGCAGAAACTTCTCCTCCTCTACTAGAATTTTCTAAAAAAAAGTTCTTCAAACGAAAACTGCTCTTCTACTCTACTTGAATCTCTCTATAAAAAGTCCCCAAGCAAAAAAGGAAAAACTTCCCCCTCTTTTGTCTTGCCGAACTTCTGAAAGAAAAAGAAAATAAATCATCGCCACGGTTGCCCTTTATATCGCTGCCGAACCCCCATTTGAGCCCGGGCCCCGGGAATTAGTCCCGGCTGCCCCCCCCCCTCTTGTCGGCCCTGGTTCCAGGTTCGATACATGGTCGTTGATACCTATTCATTTTATAATTCTCATCAGCTTTTTAAATATTTTTTTCTTTGGTTTATTTTCACTTTATGTCGATATATTTTTCATAATTTCGTAGGGGGAATTGGGGATTATATATTTTCATATTTTCAAAATTACAAAATTTTGTTAGGTTTCATTACATCATGATTGCTACTTCATCTGGCCTTGCTACCTTAGCTAATCTTCTTTTTAAAATGTGCATAATGAAGAACGAAGAACGTTTAATAACAATAATTCGCATCCACGGAACACCCATGGAGTAAGGATAAAAAAGGACATTTACTGGACTTTTATGAAAAAATGTCTTTAAATCAAAATTAAATATAGCATGGTACTGACATCTATTAAGAGATTAGTGAAATAATCAGATGTTAAACACTATAGAAAACTTTTTAAATATTTGAGCATGGATTAAACCATTGGTATGTAGATGGCGTCCTATACAAATCGACCTAGTACATTTTTATATTGCATGTTCCTTTACTTCGTTTTCACTAATTCACTACTTTTTCTCTCTTTAACCGACTATTTTCAGATATATTTATTTCCGTCTATAACAAGAACAAAACCATTAGTAATCTATGAACAAAACGTATCTTTTATCTCTGTGTGTTTGACATTTGACGCATAGACAATTGACATTTTCATGATTAGTTAAAAATAAAAACATATTTTGTTTTTAATTTCATTGTGTAAAATGAATAAAAATTGTCAACTATAAATAAAGACTATTACAAATCAAAATTACTGTTAAAACAGTTTTATATAATTCGAATATAAAATGGAGAATTCTTCCCTCAATAAAGTAAGTAGAGAACCTGCCACCTTTGTAAATTGGGTAAATAGGTCACATTTGAATCAATATGTTTATGAAAACTAGTAAATAATGTTTGTCTTTTTGTTAGGCTCACCAACAACAAAGACGTGCAGAGGCTTTACTACGCCAAAGAAAGTTTGATGATTGTATTGAATGTCATAGACAAGCAGTAGAGCTTCTAGAAGATGCATGTAATTTAACAGAAAATGTAAGATCTTTGGAATCTTTAAGACTTCAAAAAAACTACCACCTGAAACAAATTGATATGGTGAAATTGAAAATTGCTCAAACAAAAATTGATAATTACAGGAAGACTGTACAATTGCAGAAAAGGAAGATTTCTCTGCCTAGTAGTGAGGCAGATACTGAAGAAGGTTTGGGGGCTACTATTTACAGGACTATAGAAGTACATGACTCTCTAATTGATTACCTTGGTAAATATTGTGTTTATAAAAATTACAAAAAATATTTTGAAAAGGGAAGTGTATAGGGCTCGGTATAGTGTCTGCTCATTAAAAGTATTTGTCCTATTAAACTGATTCTGATTTATGAAACATCTGATAGAAAACCGCACTTACAGTCATATTTTAAGGTGTTTTTGTTTTTAATGATTTAAATTGACAAATAAAATTTAAATTTTTAGGCAAAAGGGGTGGCAGCGATAATGATAGCGTAAAATCATATTCCACTAGTGATAATGAAGAAAAATTAGAAAAGGAGACAGCTCAAATAATTGGCAACAAACATCCAAAAGATGATTCGCAAATAATTGAAGAACTCAAAGTTCTCAGTGGGCAGCTTAGAGATTCTGTTAAGTGTCTCTTATTACAACTAGATGATAGAAACAGGGAAATTGAGAAGCTAAGGGCCACTATCAGGGTGTTAGAAGGTGAAAAACAAAAAGGTACTTCATTGAGTTATTAAGAGAATTTCATCAAAATCACCAGTCATATTTCAAAATATCTAAATAAGGAGTTATTTTATGTCAGTCTTCTAGATGTCAGTGTCTATTTTAGTGCAGATTTGCCAAACATGTCATTTTTCATCAAATTTTGAAAGATTAATAATTAATTTCCTATTTTTTTATTTACTCTCTATTCAACTTAAACGCAAGTAAATCATGAACATAACTAGTCCCATGACCATACACATAAGCCCGACTGCTATTGGCCAACCCAGTGATCCCGTTTTGAATGTTTCCTTACCCTCTAGCTCAATGTGTTGTTGTCATGGGGCTAGTTGTGTTTACATGTTACTTGCATTTAAGTTGAATAGAGTTTAGTATTTTTTGAAGTTTTTATAAGAGCTAATGAACATTTTCTGTTTTGAAAATTTACTAAAAAGTATTTAGGCATATAATTGTTACAGATTGAGTTTATTTATTATTTAAAAACTGCCCCCTAATTCTTAAAATTGACAAACTTTATATTCAATAGTTTTGAATTTTTGCCTGGTTTTAGATATTTTGAAAATATGTTGTTTATGTATGAGAATTATAGGAATGCAATAATTATTCCTGTTTGTCCTTTCACAAATTGTGTTTTCATTTTCATAGTAGATGTCAGCAGAGTCTTGATTTTATATGTCTTAAATATTATAAATAGCAATTCTCAATTTGATATAGGTATTAAAAAGACTGATAGTTGAATAATATATTAAATTATACATACTATCATATGCAGTTAATACACATTTTAAAACGTTCAAACCCCATCCCATTCCCTCTCTATGAACTTGGTTAATGGGAAAATATTCGAAAAATTCTTTGGACAAATATATTTTATTTTTACTTTTAAGTGGTTAAATAGAGAACAAAAATCTGTTTCCAAAACTACCTGATATTTTGAAAATTTATGTTAATGAGTTAATAATGGGATATTATCCGTGAAAAGTGTTAACCTTCTAACTCCATTTCAGGCTATTTTACAGAAGGTAAGAACTTATTGAAAAAAATTTTTTTGTACACTTATACTTTCGGCAGTATTCACATATTCTAATGGAGTTAGTGATTTTTACCCAACTGAGCGGAGTTAGAAGGATTTATTGATATCGTATGAAACAGAAATGTACATTTAGACATATTTAGAAGGTTTTCTGACAGGATGAGATTTTATTTCTTGTTTTGTTGATGTTAAAACGGTTATTTCGATAAAATGTGGAGTTAGATGGTTAACACTTTTCACCTACGACATAACAAATATTAATTAAATTATCCAATTATATGGTGATTCTAAAAAATTTTTAGAAACCTCTTAAGTTTAACAAGGGGTACTTGGTTAGATATAGGCCAAATAAAACAAACTGATTTTCTTTTTAAATGTCGACTTTTTGATCTCTATAAGGTTCTCAACATGAATTACTTTAGTTAAATCTTCATATAAATTTTTAAGGAGAAGAGATCCATAAGTAAAGTTAACAGGAATTTTTGTTACTATTTTTTTACATAATATACCAGAACTGGTATATATCTAAGAGAGTTGCGACCCAGTGAATGGATGAAGGACTGAGGCTAGGGGGAAATAGTAGCCAGCTTAAGTTGGGAATACTTTTTTGATGTTTGTTTGATGAAAACCATAATTATTATCATTTGTCCTGCAATAATGGACTATAACAACGCATCTTATTTACGTCGAAACAATTAATAAAAAAAAATTTATTTATCCTATTAATTAAGCATTTAAGAGAAAATGGGGATTGAAAAACCATTTTTAATTAAATTTTCCGTCTAAATTCACCTTATAGAATAACTACACATTGTTACAATGGTGCCAAATATTTTTAAATAATTTGTGTTTTCTTTTCATAATGCGCAAATTATTTCATGGGCTTGTATTTTTGTTCTGTCAAGTTTTATTTGACATTTTTGGACGTTTTTAAATTAGCTGAATCTGCTTTCACAAATCCAGGATTCAGAAATAGAAATATAATACAAAATTGTATGAATTAATTTTAGTTTCAAACTTTATTTTACATGTTAGCTTATAAATAATGGAATAAATTGAACTATTTAGTTTTAAAAAATTGATGCCTATTATGACAAACCAAGGATCGAACACCATGGAAATTGGAAATGTCGTTTTTTTAAAAACCGCCTTTACATAGTTTGGGTACCTTTTCTTCTATTGGCAGGCTTTGCGACTATTTTGGATAAAAATGACGTCTATGATTGAAGGATATGTGTCGTAACTCCTTTAGATATACCGGATCTGATATATACAGTACTTATTTATACTGTCAAACAGGAAAAATATGTATTTATTTATTACCCTAATATATTATAACATTACAAGTGTACTATATAAAATTTCCTCGTTATTAAGAAATTAAATTTATTTTATGGGATGCATTGAAAACTGCATTTTTAATAGCATTCAATGTAATTTTTTATATATAATCATGTGATATGATGAACAAGTAGTTAACTCCTTTAAAAAGGCTTATAGAGGGTGGCAATTAAAAAACTTACAATTGGTATATCTCATCATCTAAGGACGATATCAGAAATGTAAAAATAAAAACAATTTAATTTGTAGTCCTGGTCTTGGACTTGAAATATTTAATTCTGTTAGACATGCCATCTTATTGTAAAATAGATTTTGAATTTATATCACTGAATAGTATATTAAAATACAAGTTACAGAAGGCCACATATTCCCACACGAATTCAAAATTTGGTCACGAGTGACGAAGGAGCGAGTGGACGAATGAATGAGTGTGAGAGTAGCCTTCTGTAACATATGTTTTATAATATACAATTTTCTCGATTTTGGGCTTCATTAAACGGCCCCACTCACCTCGTTCTTCTCCGCCATTTTTAACCGGCGGTTAAAAACGTCAGGAATGTCACAAAAACGAGGTGTATGGGAAAGAACGTCGTTCCAAAATTTCAGGCGAGTCTTGATTTTTGACGGTTATCGTGCCAACCGTTCGAGTAAACACGAGGTGTGTGTTCTCAACAGTTTGACTGGTCGGGCATTTATCAGTAGCAGTGACATTCAGCATGTTTTTGTTGTTTATTATTATTTACAACTGGTTATAATAAAAATGTCGGATATCAGGCAGTGGAACAGATTTTTTATTAGAGTTTATCAAGCTTGGCAGGTTTCGGGTATTATGCGTCCTAGTGCCTGCCCTGAAATAATAACAGAAAACTTCAAATCCAGGTAGCTGCGGCCAGTGGCCAGAAACAGCAGAGTAGCTGTTAGGCGTTCATGAGGACTGATGCATTCCCGTAAATGGGCATTATGTCTCTCAATTAACGGTGTTACTAGTTTTAACAGTTTTCCATACGTATCCTCATCCATCATCAAGTAATTGTGCCAATCACCAGGCTCCAATCTTAGCTCCTCCACTAAATTTGTTTGTGACAGTGTACTGCGTATAGTCCATTTTCTTTGAGATTTTCTTTTTTCGCGATTTTTTCAACTGCCAAAACCAGTGCCACTGCTAACAAGCACGTACGGTCCATCGTGATAAACTGGCGCGAAAAAAACTGTTGTGTGTGGACATATCAGTCAACGTTTTTCCTTCCAACGTTTTTAAAGCGAAGAAGAACGAGGTGAGTGGGGCCCTTTACAGTTTTTTTGTGGTCGTTGTTAATTGGTGATTTTTTCGCATAAAATGTTAACTGGTAACACTAAATTACTAACCAACTGTCAGGTGGAATTTATTTACTAGAACAAAGTAGTGAATGACAACAAAAATGTAACAAAAAATGTCATCAAAAATCGTTTAAGAAAGAGCTTCATTCTTCAACGATTTTGTGTGCGAGAATATGTAATTCTTACACCAAAATCGAGAAAAGTAATTTTTACTGCCTTTTTAATGATGTATGCCATGTAAAGAGTTGCTATGCCAAAGAAGGTAGCAGAGCACCTCGGTATTTTCATTTGTTTTTTTTATATATACAGGGTGTTCCATCTCAGACGAGTCACCCCGTATATTTCTTATCCCATAGTAATTGGAAAAATTTCCCGAAACACGTCGGATGATTTTCTTTGGGGGACATCTGTTGACGTATATTTGAGGCTTGAAAGAGCAACCCCCTATGAGGGGAAGCCTCTTTACAACAGTGTATGAAAAAAATCACATTTTTAAAAAAAATTAATTGTTTTATCATGCTTACAATCAAAAAATCAAAACTGCGTTTTTAAATTAAATGTTCAAATTGTCCTCCATTAACTTCCATACAATAATAAATTCTCTCGAACTAATAAATAAAAAAAAATCAAAACATTTTCTTATCTTGCCTTCATTTTTTTTTCTTAGAAGGGGTTTATTACGTTTCTTCGATCATTTCATGTATGATAAAACAATTAATTTTTTTAAGAATGTGATTTTTTCATACACCGTTGTAAAGAGGCTTCCAAGACCTTACAAATGAAGTATCATTTAAACCCTCTTCCCTATTCAATTTTGAGGGGTTAAAGCACCCCCTCACAGGGGGTTGCTCGTTCAAGCCTCAAATATACGTCAAAAGATGTCCCCCAAAGAAAATCATCCGACGTGTTTCTGGAAATTTTTACAATTACTATGGGATAAGAAATATACGGGGTGGCTCGCCTGAGATGGAACACCCTGTATACAGTGTGTGGCATTTAAGATGAAGACACCCCTATATTTTGTCTATCTAAATAAATACAGATTTGAAGTTTTGCACAGTCATACAGATTGATGGTTCACATTTTTTAAGATACTCATCTGAAATTTAAATTTTAAACCCAGCCTACTGCAAATCCACAAACAGGGTCAATTTTCGATATTTTTCTTCGCGTTAGAAATATCAGAAAAAGTTATTTGAAAAAGTTGTTCCGAATATTATTCTAACCCCACATACCAAATTTCATGACAAAAAACGCATTTTTAGTTTTTTCATTATTTTGGTCAATACACAAAATTATTAAA